CCCGTGTCCCCTGCATCGGCAGGCGGACTCTCAACCACTGCACCACCAGGGAAGCCCTCTGAGGCATTTTTGAAAGTTGGAGAGGGAAAATTCTAAAAATTAATTTATATTGTTAGTAAACAGGAGTGAACAGCCTGGGATTAGAAATTTGCAAACTATAATTGAGAGTTAGCTGTATATTTAATAATCTTGGCTATAACCTGTCATACGGTCTCTGTTTAGCAGTTGCAGCCTGGGCTCAGGCCCACTGTGGCCCACTGTATCATCTTGGGTAATTCTCTCTAGAACTCAACTGTAAATCAGAGGCACCTGGGTTGGGTACAGTGCTTGTCCACAGTGGCTGCACCTCAGAACCACCTGGGAGATTTTTGAAAACAGTGTGCTTGGGCCCAATTATATTCACATCTTCAAATTGCATATATTTAAACAGTAAATGCACATTACATTGCTGTAAGATACGTAAGATACCAACAATGGTTTTCACTGGAAATAGGCTGCTTACCTTGGCACTTTCCATCCCATGAAGAAAATAAACTTATATTTGATTAAACAAGCATAACCAGGTTTCTGTTACATGAGGTCGAAACAATTTCTAACTGACGAGATAAGAAGCCACAAAAGGAGTTTTAGCAGGAAGCAGCTTGATTGTGTTCATGGGTAAGGTCAGGGTGCATCTGGGTGCCTGAGGAACCTCTAAGTGCTGAGCTGGATGTGTCCTTTTGGACACAGATGTGAACCTCAGGGTCACCCCTAAGTGTAGGCTCTATATCAAACTCAACACACATGCTATTCAGATTTGTAAGGAAAATGTAGTTACTCGTTCGCTTTAGGGGATGTAATTGTCTTCACGATTCTCTACCACTCTGGGTAGGAAACTGGTGAGACTTAAACATCAATGACATTTTCTCAGGTTCGTCTGGTTTAAACAGTCTCTTTAGAGCAGTGATCCTCAAACGTTAATATACCTTAGAATCAGCTGGAAGGCTTGTTAAAACTCAGATTGCTGGTGCCCAAGCCCAGAAGTTTTCTCTTTAAAAAAAAAAAGCACTTTATTAATATATAGTTTATATGCTATAAAAAGTTCACCCATTGTAAGTATATTTTGAGTACATTTAAGCGATATTTTTAGTACATTTATGTAATTGGCAACCATTACCAAAATGCAGTTTTAGAACATTTCCACCAGCATGGGAGATTTCGTCATCTGGTTTTTGCTTAAGCCATTCTCCCACTCCGAGCCCTAGTCAACCACTGATCTGCGTTTTTCTCTGTAAATTTGCTTTATCTGGACATTTCTTATAAATGGAATCATACAGTATGTAGTGTATGATCTTGCACCTGGCTTCTTAGCGTAATGTTTTAGAGCTTAATCTATATTGTAGCATATTTTGGTAGTTTGCTCCTTATGTCTAAAAGAGTACTCCATTGCCGAATATACCATAAATTGTGCCCCCTCCAAAATTCATATGTTGAAGTCCTAACCACCTCGAAATGTGACCTTGTTTGGAAATAGGATTTTGGAAATGAAATTAGTTAATATGAAATCATACTGGAGTAGGGGAGACCCCTTATGCAATATGATTAGTATCCTTATAAAAAGGAAATTTGGACACAGATAGGCAGACAAGGAGAACACCATGTGAAGATGAAGGCAGAGATCAGGGTGATGCTTCTAGAAGCCAAGGAAAGCCAAACATTGCCAGCAAACCCCAAGAAGCTGGGGGAGAGGCATGGGACAAATTCTCTCTCACAGCCTCAGAAGGAACCAACCTTGCTGACACCTTGATCTCAGA